CTGCTGAAATAATGTGCTCCTCTCAGACTGCGAACTATGCAAATTTTAGTGGGCTAATATGCATGAATAATGTGTTCATATGTATACATCCATCTCCAAACACATTTGAAAAACAAAATTTCATGTTTTCATACACCTATTTAAGGATATATTTATTTATTACGTTTACATATTATTACTCTTGCATATGCGATATACCATGCGATATACAAGTATTTGGTCCAGTAGATGACCAATAAACATTATAACATACCAGTGAGAAAACCATGTTGTGTTTTACAAGCTTGTTCCACGGGTGATGACATCGTCCAATATGTCACCAAAGACAATGATGCCCAAGATTCCAGAGGAGTAGAGGAAGTCAGAAGGAATATACAACCGACATGAAAGGTTGACTGCAAAACTGACCTCCTCCGTCTTGGTCAATCACTGATCCCTGGTGGCAATTGGACAGCATGATGACAGTTCCAAACCTAAAAGAAAAATAAATTCTACTCCTATAGTTCAAAATTATCAATAATCACAAAAATGAATAGGTTGCCACCCTTTTTAAGATGTCAGATAAACAGATTTAGAAGTATCTGTTAGCATTAAAAATATCTCAATTTTTGGAAAACAGCATTCTCAAAATCACTGAAAAACTGGTTTAAATAACAAAAATTTAATAATTAATGTTCCAAAAACTTGCACTTTAAAAATAATGTATAAATCATCAGGGAGACCAATTCAGTCTCGGTAAAATTAATAAAGAAAGCTACATGGGTATTAAGAGTGATTGCCCTTAGTACATTTTATAAATATTATAATTACACGTTTTTAAACTATTCTTCCGAAAGATATATTTCTATTGGACATTTCCTTAAATTAAAGATTTTGCAAGAATGTATCACAACACACCTTAAGAGATCATCAGTTCATGGTGAATACTGAGAGATATATTATCAAAGACTGCAAAGCTTATTTTGACATATATGTTAGTTACAGTGAGCCAAAGTCTCACTTACATGTTAGTTACAGTAAGGCAAGGTCTCACTGACATATGTTAGTTACAGTAAGGCAAAATCTCACGGACATATGTTAATTACAGTAAGGCAAAGTCTCACGGACATATGTTAGTTACAGTAAGGCAAAGTCTCACTGACATATGTTAATTACAGTAAGGCAAAGTCTCACTGACATATGTTAGTTACAGTAAGGAAATCTCACGGACATATGTTAGTTACAGTAAGGCAAAATCTCACGGACATATGTTAGTTACAGTAAGGCAAAGTCTCACGGACATATGTTAGTTGCAGTAAGGCAAAGTCTCACTTACATATGTTAGTTTCAGTAAGACAAAGTCTCACTTACATACGTTAGTTATGATAATTTAAGGCAAAGTCTCACTGACCTACTGAATGTTCCGATGACCTTTGTGCATCCATATAACCTTTAGTTACATTGTAATGGACCTGCTCCAAAACTGCTTTCATTTTAAATCATCTAGGATAGTCAGATGAGGCCTCAGATAGCATACGTAATCTTGTGATCCCTATCATTCCTACAGCTTATTAATAATCACTTGGGAGCGAACAAGCTTTAACCTGATTTAACTTCACCATTTTTTAACAATTTTGAAAATATAGATGTGGCATCTGAAGCAGGTCTATGCATCTTAATGCAAGTTTTCAAGGTCATTTCAGAGCTTACAGTTATCTGAAAATTGACTTGCTCCAAAAACCTTTAACCTGACCATCATCAAAAAAAAAAATATATAGATCAGGTCCAGTGCAGTCTCTTATGTGAATCTGATCATCATACATGCAAGTATAGATCACACAATAGGTTGTATAGTTACCTGGGAGTGGACCTGCTATAAAACTTGAAAGAACCTGTTCAATCAAGCAAGTGTAGGTTAGATCCAGCATTCATTGCAGCTAGCTAGGTCACCTGGTGTACATACCATTCTAAGAGGCATCATCTCTGCATGTTTTGTCACTAAAGAAATTTAGTCACTTAAAATGGACTATAACCTTGCAAAAAATCAAGTTATCTTTGGTTGTAAACTATCCATTAAATTTAATGTAATATATACATTAAGCTGAATAAAAAATTTGTGTGATATATGCTTATTTTAATGTTTTATAATATTAATCATGTTTTATACATGTGTTGTAGGTTTTAATTTTTATTATTTCCAAGTCTTATGTTTTCATTACAAATGAACCAAGAATTCAAATTTTCATTTCAATGAGAAAATCCTGTTACATTGTTGAATTTGGTATGTCACCTTGCAAAATGATGACCAAGATTCCAGAGTAGTGGACAGTTGGTTGGGCTCTCCTTTTCCCCCGACAACTGGGGTATATATTTCTCAAACATTTGAATATAATCTTCTCCAAGATGTACATATTTGACAAAAAAGTTATTTGTTTGCAATTTAGATTTTAGTACATGTAGAAAATAAATCCCAAAAAAGGTAATTCCTTGGTCAATCACTGATCCCTGGTGGCAATTGGACAGCATGATGACAGTTCCAAACCTAAAAGAAAAATAAATTCTACTCCTATAGTTCAAAATTATCAATAATCACAAAAATGAATAGGTTGCCACCCTTTTTAAGATGTCAGATAAACAGATTTAGAAGTATCTGTTAGCATTAAAAAATCTCAATTTTTGGAAAACAGCATTCTCAAAATCACTGAAAAACTGGTTTAAATAACAAAAATTTAATAATTAATGTTCCAAAAACTTGCACTTTAAAAATAATGTATAAATCATCAGGGAGACCAATTCAGTCTCGGTAAAATTAATAAAGAAAGCTACATGGGTATTAAGAGTGATTGCCCTTAGTACATTTTATAAATATTATAATTACACTTTTTTAAACTATTCTTCCGAAAGATATATTTCTATTGGACATTTCCTTAAATTAAAGATTTTGCAAGAATGTATCACAACACACCTTAAGAGATCATCAGTTCATGGTGAATACTGAGAGATATATTATCAAAGACTGCAAAGCTTATTTTGACATATATGTTAGTTACAGTGAGCCAAAGTCTCACTTACATGTTAGTTACAGTAAGGCAAGGTCTCACTGACATATGTTAGTTACAGTAAGGCAAAATCTCACGGACATATGTTAATTACAGTAAGGCAAAGTCTCACTGACATATGTTAATTACAGTAAGGCAAAGTCTCACTGACATATGTTAGTTACAGTAAGCCAAAGTCTCACTTACATGTTAGTTACAGTAAGGCAAGGTCTCACTGACATATGTTAGTTACAGTAAGGCAAAATCTCACGGACATATGTTAATTACAGTAAGGCAAAGTCTCACGGACATATGTTAGTTACAGTAAGCCAAAGTCTCACTGACATATGTTAATTACAGTAAGGCAAAGTCTCACTGACATATGTTAGTTACAGTAAGGCAAAGTCTCACTTACATATGTTAGTTACAGTAAGCCAAAGTCTCACTGACATATGTTAATTACAGTAAGGCAAAGTCTCACTGACATATGTTAGTTACAGTAAGGAAATCTCACGGACATATGTTAGTTACAGTAAGGCAAAATCTCACGGACATATGTTAGTTACAGTAAGGCAAAGTCTCACGGACATATGTTAGTTGCAGTAAGGCAAAGTCTCACTTACATATGTTAGTTTCAGTAAGACAAAGTCTCACTTACATACGTTAGTTATGATAATTTAAGGCAAAGTCTCACTGACCTACTGAATGTTCCGATGACCTTTGTGCATCCATATAACCTTTAGTTACATTGTAATGGACCTGCTCCAAAACTGCTTTCATTTTAAATCATCTAGGATAGTCAGATGAGGCCTCAGATAGCATACGTAATCTTGTGATCCCTATCATTCCTACAGCTTATTAATAATCACTTGGGAGCGAACAAGCTTTAACCTGATTTAACTTCACCATTTTTTAACAATTTCGAAAATATAGATGTGGCATCTGAAGCAGGTCTATGCATCTTAATGCAAGTTTTCAAGGTCATTTCAGAGCTTACAGTTATCTGAAAATTGACTTGCTCCAAAAACCTTTAACCTGACCATCATCAAAAAAAAAATATATAGATCAGGTCCAGTGCAGTCTCTTATGTGAATCTGATCATCATACATGCAAGTATAGATCACACAATAGGTTGTATAGTTACCTGGGAGTGGACCTGCTATAAAACTTGAAAGAACCTGTTCAATCAAGCAAGTGTAGGTTAGATCCAGCATTCATTGCAGCTAGCTAGGTCACCTGGTGTAAATACCATTCTAAGAGGCATCATCTCTGCATGTTTTGTCACTAAAGAAATTTAGTCACTTAAAATGGACTATAACCTTGCAAAAAATCAAGTTATCTTTGGTTGTAAACTATCCATTAAATTTAATGTAATATATACATTAAGCTGAATAAAAAATTTGTGTGATATATGCTTATTTTAATGTTTTATAATATTAATCATGTTTTATACATGTGTTGTAGGTTTTAATTTTTATTATTTCCAAGTCTTATGTTTTCATTACAAATGAACCAAGAATTCAAATTTTCATTTCAATGAGAAAATCCTGTTACATTGTTGAATTTGGTATGTCACCTTGCAAAATGATGACCAAGATTCCAGAGTAGTGGACAGTTGGTTGGGCTATCCTTTTCCCCCGACAACTGGGGTATATATTTCTCAAACATTTGAATATAATCTTCTCCAGGATGTACATATTTGACAAAAAAGTTATTTGTTTGCAATTTAGATTTTAGTACATGTAGGAAATAAATCCCAAAAAAGGTAATTCCTTAGGCAGTCATAAAAACTCTATTAAAGGGCATTCATCACAAAGCCTTTATATACTTCACACATATTTAAAGTAATGGTAATACATGTACTTCTTGTACCCTATATAATTTTATTTAACTGCTGTTGGGTCAGTCTCTCCTAGAACTTTTATACAATAGTTCCAAATGACTTTTTTTAGGTGAACTAAAGAAAAATTAAAACTACCTGAGTACTTTCAATGTTTTTAATCAAAAATAAGATTTATACATGTAGTAATTAGAATGTACATGTACATGTGATCCAACATCATATGACTGGTTGAAGAATACAAACAACATACCCTATATTACAAAGATATTTTTAAAAAACAACAACACACACTTGTTTTAGTGTTCAAACTGTTGAAATAATGTGCTCCTCTCAGACTGTGAACTATGCAAATTTTAGTGGGCTAATATGCATGAATAATGTGTTCATATGTATACATCCATCTCCAAACACATTTGAAAAACAATATTTCATGTTTTCATACACAAATATCTGGCTCATATACTGGTGTTACAATACTGTTCCGTCCATGTGGATCAAGTATCATGTACTCCATGTATATAATAATCATCAAAATATTTTTGGTACAATTTGTCTGTTACAAATATATATATTATACAATAAAGTACAACTTCAATATTTAAGGAAACTCATTGTACTCTAATGAAATTATCTGAGAGGATGGAACAAAAACATTTGATTTACTTTTTAAATTCCTTTCACAAAAAAAAAAAAGAAAAAAAAAAAAAGAATGATCAGAACTTCACTTACTAAAAAATACACTCCTTGTTTATTCCTATTAATAGAAAATAATGCAAATCTTATCATTCCATCCTCTCAGATAAGCTTTCCTCAGCTAATGTTATCTAGCTGTACTTTTCTCCACAAGGTTGGTTCTGACAGTCCCTTTGATGTTTTTCCTACAGATGGGGCATTTCGTGAGGGCTGGAGCACACTGGGGGCAGGACACTAGGTGACCGCAGGGCAGGAATACAATAGAGACTTTCTCATCAAGGCAGATCTTACAGATTGTCAGGTCCTTCAATTCCTTATTCTCTTGCTTCAGCGTACTAGGATCAGCTGGAAAAAAAACAATGCTTAAAATACATCTGTCCTCCATTGTGAATGCCCAAAGCTGGAGAAAGTTTCATTAAGTCTAATGCTTCTTTACATTGATCGATATTGAAAGTTTAAAATTTCTGGTACCTTGTTCCAACATTGACGTTGTTTTGAGCTGGTATTTATGCACGTCTACTTTAAGCTTACTTAGCCTGGTACTGTATACATAAATTTCTCCAATATTACTTGTTATAATTACTTTGACTGACAAACTTAAAACACAATATTTACCATTGGAAGCTGATGACGCTGACTTCCTGTTTTCCTCATGGATCTTGAGATACTTTCTGATGTTCTCCTTAGTGAATGCACCCCAACCTGAGTAAACATGAATTACATTTATGACACACAAAAAACATTCTCACAATACAAATTAACTAAAAAAGTTTGACAATAAAAAATATCGTTTAACAAGAGGCCCATGGGCCACATCGCTCACCTGAGTAACTTTGGCCCTGCTGTTCTTTACCAGATTGCCCCCCTTGTAATACCTATTGTGGCCCCGCCCTACCCCCGGGGGTCATGATTTGAACAATTTAGAATCTACACTACCCCAGGATACTTCTAGGTAAGTTTCAGCTTTTCTGGTCCAGTGGTTCTTGAAAAGAAGATTTTAAAAGATTTTTTCTATATATTTCAACGTAAAACTTGGATTTCCTATTGTGGTTCTGCCCTACCCAGGGGATCATGATTTGAACAATTTAGAATCTACACTACTGGAGGATGCTTCCGCATAAGTTTAAGTTTTTCTGGCCCAGTTGTTCTTGAGAAGAAGATTTTTAAAGATTTTTCTTATATATTTCAATGTAAAACTTGGATTCTCTATTCTGGCCCCGCCCTACCCCCAGGAGTCATGATTTGAAAAATTTAGAATCTACACTACCCCAGGATGCTTCCACATAAGTTTCAGCTTTTCTGGTCCAGTGGTTCTTGAGAAGAAGATTTTTAAAGATTTTTCCAATATATTTCAATGTAAATCTTGCATTCCCTATTGTGGCCCCGCCCTAACCCCAGGGTCAAAATTTGAACAATTTAGAATCTACACTACTTGAGGATGCTTCCACATAAGTTTCAGTTTTTCTGTCCCAGTTGTTCTTGAGAAGAAGATTTTTCTTATATATTTCAATGTAAAACTTGGATTCCCTATTGTGGCCCCACCCTATCCCCAAGGGTCATGATTTGAACAATTTAGAATCTTTACTACCCCAGGATGTTTCCACATAAGTTTCAGCTTTTCTGGCCCAGTGATCCTTAAGAAGAAGATTTTTAAAGATTTTTCTTATATATTTCAATGTAAAACTTTGATTCTCTATCATGGCCCCACCCTACCCCCAGGGGTCATGATTTGAAGAATTTAGAATCTACACTATCCCAGGATGCTTCCACATAAGTTTCAGCTATTTTGGCTCATTGGTTCTTGAGAAGAAGATTTTTTAATGACCCCACCCTATTTTTGTCTTTTCTTGATTATCTCCCCTTGTAAGGAGACTTGGCCCTTTATTTTTATAATTTAAACTCCCCTTCACCCAAGGATACTTTGTACCAAGTTTGGTTAAAATTGGCCCAGTGGTTCTTGAGAAGAAGTTGAAAATGTGAAAAGTTTACAGACGGAGGGAAGGACAGACAGACGGATGGACGACGGGTGATCAGAAAAGCTCACTTGAGCTTTCAGCTCAGGTGAGCTAAAAAGTATTGAACATGCATATACATAAATTTATTTGTATGAATACATGGGTGAGATTAGAGGCACACAGGTTTTGTTATTTCTTTCACTAAAGGAGGTGACACTCTTCTAGAGAAAAAATCATACATCAAGGGATCTGTGATAATTTCTCTGAATTACTAATTTCTATAAAGGGTGCATGAAGTTCATTTTTCTTTTAATACTGGAAAAAATATGTTAACTGGCAACAAATGCTTCAACACTGTCTCAATCATGAAACTTAATTCTTTATACTATGTATGCATACATGAAAAATTGAATCCTTTTTTTCAATGGGTAGCTTTTTTTTTATCACAATTACTTATTTTCCACAAAAAAGTAAAATGAACTTTGTTTTAGAAGAAAGAGATTGAAGAGAGGGTAGGTGATCTAGTAATGAGAAACTGCATAATTTCAATTTGAACAAAGGTCACCTGGATCAATTACTCACAATATCCCAAATGATGCTTACCTAGAGCTATCAGTTAACGAGTGACCTGATTAAATTTATATATTGCCTTTTTTCATTACAAAATTTTCAAAATTACATGTATTTTTCATAGATAGTCAAGTTTATATGCAGTATGCAGGGTTGTCCCTAAGACCTGGGGGCTGGGGAATTTCCCCGTCTATAATGACATCCCCCGGCTTCTCTGGTATTCCCCCTCAACCCCTTAGCTTGTTAGGGGAGGAACCCCAGACATCCTTCTACTTTTTTAATATCCCCTCCTATTTCAATTCTTATGGACAACCCTGGGTATGTATTTTCGTTCTCTAAAGACAGATAATTATTAACATCAGGTTACTCTTCCAAGAAATTATGGCACACATAAAGAAGTTTGGTTTTTTTTTTACATCATTAGATAAAGACACACACACAAATATACAAGTATATTAAAAATGTAAGAAAAATCAGTTCAGCAGCGTTACAAATTTTAAAATACACTTTCAAAACACAAAAAACTCTTACTTTTTTTAAAATCAAATAGAATTTAAAGAAACATTACATTCAACAAATCAGCTTATAAAAACATATTAATTAAATTTAAAGAAGACTTAAAGTTGTTGTAAATGAAATGGAAACGCAATGCATAAAAGCATTTCAGAAGCAAAGAAGTTCCACTGCTAAGTAAGCATCAATGAGTTTTGTTTCTCAGAGAATCCTTTAAACCTTGTTTCTCATTAGAGGACCACATTCTTACGTGACTGTGGCAATTAAATACTCCTGCATTGCTACCAGCCCTCCTAAGCCTATATACAAGATTTGAAGACATTCAAAGAAACATTTGCCGTAACTGTTTAAGCTTGCAGAAAGGTATTCGGAAAGTGAATATGGATTATTTTTTAGCTTTGTAGATTAAATCACAACAGTGGACAGTAAGGACAAGATTTTGGAATTTTTCGTAAACAGTGTTTTAGAACATAACATGAGATGAAACAAAACAGTCTGTACTTAAGGTCTCTCATCCATTCACTGGGAGAAATGTCATGTAATCCACAGGTTTAGGTATTCAAAACTTAAAATCAAAATATCTTGAACACTGATTAAAAGCAACATGTCAGTTAAAAATGAACTCACTAAGAGTCATATTTATCCTTTTTTCATATATATACAATGAATGGATGGTCAACCTTAACTAAGAACTACGTTGCATTCCATTATGTAGAATTATGAACTAAAAATTTTACAGTTAAAGATCATTGAACAGTTATTATGAACACAATGAACTGATTAGATCTTCGATAAATCAGAAGTACACTAGAAATTATAAGCTCTATTAACAAAGCAGATACACAAAACATATACGGACACTGACCTTCTGCCTTTACGAGATCCTCTATGGCTGCAGTGACATATTTAGGTTTGATTTTTTCATCATGAATCAGACTTTGTGCAGCAGCAGTTCTTAAAGGAGCTTTGATTGGCTGAGCTACTGGAGCACTACCTATAAATAAATTTTAAGTTTATAGCTTATTACTAGCTATAGGAAATTTTCAGATATGCTCATTGTTCAGCTAAAAATTGGAAAAGCTTTTAAAAGAGTCCATTTTGCTATTGCACATGTCCTACATGGGAAAAGCTAATGTTGTTTTATAAGTCCTGTATACAAAAAAAAAATAAAATAAAAATAAACATGAGATGTGTGTGAAACACTTATGCCCCCCCCCCCCCCCCCTCTGGACATACATTATAGAGTTCCCAAGCTTTTATTATGGGCAGTACATGTATACGTTACTGGCAGTGTACATGGAAATGAAACTGACCTTTTGAACTTAAAATCAATAGAGGTCATCTACCTGTAATGATCTGAGATGCAGTCCAATCAGAAATAGTCTTCTACATCACATCTTTGGCAAAAACATGTTTCTCATGATATATCAATAATTAATTTGTTCAACCTTTGCAGAGATAATGAACGGAAAGCAAATAATTGGAATTTTTCCAAGTACAATAGGCATAACTCTGTCAAAATTGCTTGATCATACCCAAAACAGAACTTGACCTAGATATTCTTATGATAAATCTGTATACTAAATTTCATTTCAGTATGTGCAACCTCTGCAAAGAAAATGAACGGAAACTGTTTGTGGACCGACAGACAGACAGCAGCAAAGCAATATGCCCTCCCTTCTTTGAAGAGGGGCACAATAAGTGAAATATGGTATTCCAAATGCATGTTAAAGCACTCAACATTGAAAATACCCCTAAATATGTATCACTGAATCTTCTTGAAAGTAAAAATAATTTGTACATGTATATATATGTTTACTATCAGTTATTTTTAATATTTTTTAATTTTAAATGGACAAAACATAGTTTGAAATACCTTTGATGGACCGAGGAGATGACTGTTCATGATGAAGTTTAGTCCCTCGTAAATCATGACAATCACACATATATAGTCATTTACTGACTTTGTCCCACTACTTTAACATTTGCTTTTTCACCCTATATAGTGCACATCTGATGCTACATTTCATATTTTACTTTGCTTACTGACCATTTCTTACATCAGCATCATAATATGCTATATATTTGACAGTAATATGTTTAAGTTGTATGTTATGACAGATTGAATGAGCAACAGATTTCTGTATCTCATCTATCATTTTAAAAGTAAATAATGTAGCATGACATGTGCTGTGTGGGATAGCATGATGTGGGAAGTGATTGTGTGGGGAGTGCTCAACCAACTACTTGTTACAGAACATGTTATCATGTTCAATTACTGTACACATATACATGACAGTACATAATACTGTACACATGTACATGACTGTAAAGTTTGGGAGCATGCTCAACCCATGATTCCAGATCACATATGGCATGCTCCACTTCAGGGGATGTCACGTTGTTCTGCTGCAAAGTTTGGATCACAGCATTAAAGCATAAATACTTGCTAAAATACCATATTTTACAAGTGCTGCCACTAATTTCACAATAGGATATTATGAATAGAATATTTATAGTGCTTTCAATCTGATTCCTATCAAACACTCTGAATTTTTCCTTTCCTTGTTTTTCTTTCATTTGAACTTAGAATGATAGCTTGGAATTACTTCTTTTTTAGTGAGACTAAGTTGCAGAAGTGGGGGATTCTTACCTGATCCAAATCCACTGTCATCAGAAGTTCCTTTACTCATGGTAGCCTCAGAAGTTTTGGCCACGTTATTCTCAATCTCATTGGCTGCTGGTCCTCCTGATGCAGAGTTACTTGCCCCTGATTTTTCTTTGTTACCAGAGTCGCTCTCATTGCCAGTCTGCAAACAGAAGAAAATGATGAATTCTTACATGTACAACAAAATATACTGTACTTTATTCAACACATTACACAACCAAAATCAAAAGGGAATTCCATGATCCTTTTAAATTTTTTATTCATGAATATTTCTTTACCACCGACACCTGCAAAATTTAATCCACCTTAAGCAACTCAATGTTGTTTACGAACAGCATTAATTAAACAAGCAAGGACACTTCAAAAGGACTTTTCCTTTAACAACAATTCATTATAAACATGCCCAATTACTTCAATTCATATAATACACAGTATTCACATGCAATCATATATTTCAACTCTTTTTCATATATTTGGATATGTTAATCATCCAAACTGTGACTTAAGCTTCCACGTAATATGTAATTTTGCAATTTAAATGGTTTAACAATATTTTAAATACAGCATCAATTGGTAGGTAGGTAAAGAATTTTAAGTAAAAAATCTGTCTCAAAAACTGGTAAAAAGTTTCACACGTTTCTTCCTTTAGATGAAAACAACAGACCTAGCTGGTATATACTTCCTGTAAGATTTACCGTTACGATATTAAAATGGAATAAAACCATTTGACTGCAAACACTTTATTTAACTTGAATTTAGAATTCCAGTCAACCAATATCCCTTAGAATATAGAATAGCAACTTTTCAAATAGACTGAATGACAATTTTTGTAAATTTTTAATTTATGTTAACATACACAATTAATTGCAAAACTTTAGACTAAGAGGTAGTTACATGTAAGTTTTTCAACAATTTTCATGCAATTATAACTATATGAATTTCAAAAATATTCAATAAATACATATAATGAGAAAGAATTTCAAAATAATTCAATAAATACATATAGTGTGGAATCATTTTCATTTGTAGGGGGTCAATGTTCATAGACAATTAAAATTTCACTGGTTAGTGGGGGACTGGTTTGTGTGCAACTTATATATGGAGAAGATTCAACAAATAAGCAATTTAAGCTATTGAATTTGTGGGAGAAAGGAATCCACAAACATTGGTCCCTTATGAACTATGATGATTCCACAGTATACTGCAAGGCTGCAGTGAAAAGCTTGAATTTAATGTTTCATAAACAACAAAAGAGTTATTTAATCATGCAATTAATGTAGACTAGTTCAAATGTTATAAGCACAAACTCCATTTATGTGCACCAACTATAAACATATGTACACTGAAACCAATTTCTTTGATATGGCATCTGCAGAATTATCAGTAATAAAACTTGTTTGTCAAATACATATTTTTAAATTATTTGATAACAAATAAACACCATTTTATTCCACATGTAAAATACACTGTATCATTGATATCATATATTTACATTTTTAAAATTTCTTTGTTCAAAATACAACTACAAAATAATAATAAAAAAAAAAACTTTATTTCTTCTTTAAGCTATTGATTCATCGATAAGCATGGTGTAAAAATATCGTGCGGAACAGGAGAGAGAGGTGGGTGGGACTTGGAGCACACGAGTTTATGGAATAAAGCAATTGTAAATATATAGGATCTCCCATGATTTGTAGTTGGATATGATTTTTATCCAACGAGATGTGTGTTTTTTTTATCCCCGAGCCTTGGCGAGGGGATAAAAACACAAAAAGAGTTGGATAAAAGTCATATCCAACTACAAATCATGGGAGATTCTTTTATCCCATGTTTAATACTTCACAACCAATGTTTTACACTGTTTTATATAGGACTCCACTTTATTTTACTTCATCGCGCTAACGCAAAAACCATTGTGACGTCACAACTGTGGATTATGAAAAAATTATCCAATGGGTCATATCCACGGGATAAAGGGGTAAACATGGGATAAAAGAGGGATATCTGTGACTATAGTTGTTTTTTTTTTGTTTTATGATGATGATCAAGCAATTGGCTTGCTTGATAATCTTATGCATAAACATCTTAAGTTTGGCATTAATGCAAATTATCATGCAAGTCATTATTGCATGATTACATCATAATACTGTAAAACTAGACAGTTATTTCTTAAGAATTTCAGTACTTGAAATTCAAAATATCGTTACTTTAAAACTCAGCAGCTTGATAACAACCTGCAGTGATATAATGTATAAATTAGCTCAAAAGTTTTCAATAACTGAAAATATGAAGTTATTTTATCTCAATTAAAAATTTCATTGCAAAACAGTATCTGTGCCACAAAAAATTTCTAAAAAAAAAAAAAAAAAAAAAAAAAAAAAAAAAAAAAAAAAAGAATATTTTTCAAAGACAGAAAAGTGAGGATGTTCAGTGTATGAAATGTATGGGTTCTCAGATGCCAAATGAAGAGAGATAGGTATCAGTGTTCACTTTTACCCTCCACTTACACTAGCCCCTTCGGCCTCACTATCCTCGTCATCCTGGGCCATTTCTGCTGCCCGAGCAGCTTCCTGCACAAGGTCAATAAAGGCCTGCCCTTTTATTTTTAGAATGTAAGGACATTCCATAGACCAACGTGCATGTTCAATCCATGGGTTGTCTTCAGGGTCCCAATTTCTTAGACCTAATGAGGTTTAAGGTTAATTAATTCAAAGTCATATTCTCTATGTTTCATATTTTGTGGCAATGAAAATTTTAAAAATACTGTAAACATGGAAATTTACCCTTGGGAGAATACTTATCTAAGTAAGCAATGAGAAATTTTTCACAAAACTATCCCCTCATGTTCCAATATCTTTGAACATATTTCTTCTTGTATTAACAGTACAATATAGGTGTTGCAGAAATAACTCCCAAGCATATGGTTTTGCTACTAATTGAATAACACATGTAAATATCCATGTTTACATTGGTTTTCCTAAGGCCTAAGGTAGGCTTTTAGTAATAAAACTCAATGAACTAACATTCACATTTTAACCAGAATTCGAAATTTCCTTTGAAGGAATTCAGTTTCTCAGAACAAGAACTGTTTATCCTGAAATTTCCTTCGGCTCTCTCCTTTTCTTTTCTTTTTTTTTTTTTTTTAAGAAATATTTTTACTGGGACCATACAAGATTCATTTTCAAAACAGAAATTTCCTTTGGATATTAGAACTGCATGATTTCATGCGTTTCTATAAAAACACGCATTTGTGCTTTGACCTTCACTGGCTAGTATGCCATTACGCGTACATTCATGTCTGAAATCAAATTGCAGTTGTAGGTTAAGTGGTAACACTTTCCAACTGAAAATTAAACATGCAAGGCAATAAATTCTGTAATCAAATTATACCCCAATATAAATAAAACAGATTTCTGTCATCAATAATAGTTTAGTAGGATTGTAATGCTCTCCATTTAGATGGACATCAGAATTGCTTTTTGTGAACAATGTGTTTTTATGCATCACTTGTGGAATAAGCTCAGAAGCTTTAAGTTTGCAAACACTAGATCACAAATACCACATCTGTGTCACATGCATGGAGACTTTTTTATGTCATGAATATGCAACATTTTGCATTACTAGTATTATAATATATAAATAATAAAATGTCTTTCTTTGGTTGTTATTATGGGAATTAACGTTTCAATTGCAATTAATTGCAGAAAAAAATTACATAACCTTTGTAAGCAGGTTGTGCTTTTTTTTTTTGCAACAGCTGCAACATTAATTCCCATTCTAACAATCAAACAAAGCATTTTATGTTTAATTAAATAGATGAGTTTATTTCCATGCAATTATCATCTGTGAAAAGGACTTTTATGAATCACAGTACTTGAAAAATAAATGTTCTTTATGTTTTAAGAGGATTTTTTTTTAAATATCGTAACATGAATTCAGAATCTTACCAATTAATTAATATCAAATAAATGTTCTTTATGTTTTAAGAGGATTTTCTTTTTTCGTAACATGAATTCAGAATCTTACCAATTCCACAGTGGAAGCATCTGCAACAATCGCCAAAACCTGAAAGAGGGTGATACACAATTGGCAATCATAAAATTTTTGCAGAAATTCAAAAACGAAAAAATTACATTATATATAGAGGCACTATTCTTCATTGTTCTGAAATGCAATTTAATCTCAAAAGTCAGGACCTGCCAAAAACTGAATATTTCATAATATCTGACCCCTCCCCTTAAAATTTTTAAAAGAAATATATAACATATGAAGATTCTCGATTCAAGTAGCAAAAACATTTTGACAAAATTTCTTCCCAAAGAAATTTGCACTTTGACTTAAATTTTGCTCACCTGCATAATAAAACCCAGCATCTGTCATATCAGCTGGATGTTGCTTCATGTGACGAGGAAAATTAGCATAAGAGGCCAGTCTGGCTGGGCGGCTAGCATACTCCGGGTGTTTTACCACCATTGTACGTCTTGTCGTCTCAGACTGGTCCTGTCCATTGCTATAATTAGCACTTGCCAGGTGAGCTGTATTGTTAGATGTCGAGCCATTATAGGCTGCCCATGGACCATCAGGTTCCACAACTCCTACTTGAGGGACACTTTGAAGGGGAACAAGATCTGGAAGTAAATCAAAATATTATTGCTTGGAAATCAGATCAATTGAAATGAAGTATTCTCTAAACTTCTTTGCATAAAAAACATATGTCCATTTTAACAATCTAATTAAACTTAATATACAATTTAAATGTACCAACTTTGTGAGTCTCAGATGCATGCACCTACACCTTAAAAAATTGTATAAAGTTGCTCAAAAAAAACATTATTTTATACATTAAAAGACTATGAATTTTAATCAAACAGAAGAATTTAACATTACTAAGAGTTAAGTGCTGTGGGTCTATACCTTGTGTCGACTCTTCTCTTGGCACAGGGACATTTCCATCACCTTGTGATAAAAATTTACAGTTTGGAGACATTCTCAGATGAATTTCTCTGGGGGAATCATTAAAATTCCAGCTTCCTTTCCGGAAATCACATGAAAAGCAGACAAGTTCATTTCCATTTCCCTCGTAGAAAAACCCAGCCTGGGCTAATCTCAAAAGACTCGGTCCATTAGTGTTAGGGTAGTCGTGCATGGTACAGAGGCGCAGAAATTCAACAGCCATTGTGTCATGTTTAGAGGGTGCACTTTCAGGAACAGAGAATTTATTTAGAATGGGCTCCAACACTGGCTGCTGTGTTGCTGGGTATACCACTATTTCATCATGACGAATCTCCACACGACTTAATATCTCATTAATATTTTCTCTAACACATTCATCAAATGACTTGTAATGTTTACCTTGCTTTATATTCTTTTTTACACCAAAAATTTCAGCTTTGGTTTCTTTTGCCTTGTTTCTCTCTGATTCTATTTGTCTGTGCTGTTTGAAGAACTTTTTTACATATGCTCTGATCTCTTCATTCCTCAAGTTGTACTCCAGCAAATCTGTTGACTGTTGGCTTTTATCTTCGGATTTAAAATTAATATTTAATCCAGAGTAGCAAAGTCCTTTGATTAAGGAATTAGGTAAAATAATTAAAATGGAAGAAGAAAATGAAACACCAAAAGATTCATCTGACAAATAACAATCTTTGATTATATGCAGAAAATGTGGAAGTAAAATTGGCAATCTGAACAGTATACTTTTGGCCTCAGTATCACAAAGATACAATTTTTTGCACTGTTTCACTTCAAAGAAATCCAATATGAATACTTTAGGGTACAAATTTTCTACAATTGCCATAATATAGCTTCGGTCAAGAGGACTTTCCAATACACTGATGTGTTCATCTAATGGACAAGAGGACAATGCTGTCATTTTCTCAATGCAGAACTGAAAATCAAAATCACAATATGTCCTTTTCCAGTGTTCTAAGTCTTTCACCAATTTTTTTATGACTGCATTATGGTGCAGTATTTCAGAGGTCAACTGTTTCATTATTGACACAAAATGATTTTGCTTAAAAGGACTTTCTGACATTATGAAGTGTCTATCAAATTTGCGGAAGAGTGATAGTAAATATGCCGCTTTTTGTGTAAAACAAGACTGTAATTCAATAGCAGGGAAACATATCAAATCAGGGAATTCTGAAGCTTTTTCATATTTTTCAATGCCTGTGTTATTGATACATGCTTCAGGGCACGACTGTTTCACTTTCAACATTACATTTTGCTTGATAGAATTTTCTAATCCAATGATGTGTATGTGAAATGGACAGGAGAGTTGGTCATTCACTCCTAATTTCCAGGTGAGACATTGGAAAAGAATTTTATCACAACGAGATATATCACCAAATTCTGAGGCATTCTTCACTTTTTCAAGGCCTGCATTATTTTGACATGCTTCTTCTGGGAGAGCAATTTCAATTGTAGATGGGCATGAGAATACATGTACCAGTCCATGAAACGCACACATACAAAGCATTATACAGCAACTTTCATTACTTACATACTGAATTAATAGAATATTATCTTTTTCCTTTTCGGAATTATAAGAGCATTCCCAAATCCTGAATCCAGATTCTTCATGAACTTTGCTGTCTATTGTCCTGCAAGCAATATGAGTTTTATGAAATACACTAGCTGTAACAAATATATCTTATGATCAGGAAAATATTATGGTTGCTTATGTAATCATGATATACATGTATGTATATATATATATATATATATATATATATATATATATATATATATATATATATATATATATATATATATATACATACATATATATATATATATATATATATATATATATATATATATATATATATATATATATATATATATATATATATATTACATATTATAATTATGTATCATTTCCTCATATGTTTTTTTTCAGTTTCTGATTAGAAAAATAAGGTTATGTCATATGAGAATGCCAATATTTGAAGATACAGTAGGAATATATTCAAATTATGTCCAGAAAACATATATTAAGTCCTGCAGATCTGTCCTACTTTGCCAAAACAATTACCGCTAACTTGTAGTTAACACTTAACATCAATGTCAGAGGACCTGGATAGTATAGTTAAAAACACAAAGTGCCTTAAATGTACTGTCTACATCTGCTCCATTTAAAATCATTAAAATTATCTGACATACTTAAACTAAAGGCCACAATGCTTACCTAATTAACTATGGCCCTTATAAATTATAGTCTTATGTAAAACTTTGATCATATAATGTGGTCCCACGTCCTTCACCCGGAGGTTCATGATTTGAATAAATTTGAATCTATACTACCTGAGGATGCTTCCATATAACATGCATGTTTAATCATGGTTTTGCTGACTTCTTGGCAAAAAAGGCTTTAAAGATTTCTCCTATTATATTCTTAATTAAAACCTTGATTGCCCATTTTGGCCCAATCCTACCCCAAGGGGTCATGACTTGAACACATATGATTTCAATCTACCCTACCTGAAGATATAAATATGACTGATAATACATGTAGCTTTGCTGACTTCTGGAGATCAAGATATTTTTAAGTTTTCCTATGTATTTCCATGTCAAACCTTGATCACCCATAATGACCTCAGCATACCATGCAATAGTCTCTAAGAAGTAATCTTGAATATACATGTAGGTTCTGATCAAATTCATGTCTACAGACAGACAGATATGCTGATTCCAATATACCCCCAACAAACTGCGTTTGGGGATCGGACGATACACTGTGACTTGTTTCAAAGATGGTACATGTATAAAAATTACGCACCTCACAAAACGGTGACACCAAATACTCAGTTCTGCAGGTACACATATACCACATATACCACTCAAGTCATTGTTCAGAACCTTTAAAATAGCCTGGGAAAAGTAAACAGAAATTGATTTCTCAATTTGATACAGTACTGGATAAACATGTACTATATTTTATTGAAATTAAGTAACTTCGTTAACATGCATGTCAATCTGGTCAATTTTTACAGAACTTTGTATTATAGGTAAAAATATTTTAAAATTCACTTGAGAAGAAAATATCTGAAAATTAAAAAATATCTGAAAATTAAAAACTTTAGGAACTCTAAAAAGTATATCCCTGCATTACTTTTAACTCTGCATTACTGTGCTTGGACACTGAAGCTTGTTACTTTGATAAAGCTACTACAACACAATACAATATATCCATATAATATTTACAGAATTGCCAAGAAAATATTCCAGCTTCAAGCATGAACATTTAGCTCTTGTATCCTTGAATATAGTGTATGGTCTTAAATTTATCTGCTAGTTTTTCTTTCAGATGGAAAGACATACAAGTAAATTATTCCACTTTCACTTTTAATTCAGGCAATTCAGGACACTTGCATGAATGTGAGATTTTCTTAATTGGGTACATGCTATTTTTAACTTTTACAGAATACACAGATTTTGTCATATGTCGACTGTTAATGACAGCTATATATAGATCCAATTGGCATAATAGCTATATATAGGGTTGTTCAGGAGATAAACAAATGTACAACATGTACTTTTGGAATATAGCCATTAAAAGACTTGATGACCAACTGTTATTCGTTATTCATTCTTTAATTTAAAATCATGTCAATGTAAACTTTGAATGGACATTATTTCTGAGTTGTAATTTAATTGTTTTCAACATTAACTCTATATATTCTCAACACAGGCACTTGTTTCTGTAATAAATTTTTTAACCCATAGTATAATAATAACACAAGGTATCCAACTCCGAATTACACGGAGTACCCCCCTCCCTCAGAATCGCACTCATTTACAATTTCAGAGGACATGCACTGGCAAACTGTTAATACCTATGTCTTCTACGATAATTTATCTACACAACCATATATGGCATGCTTGTCTTTATTTTCTCTAGTCTCCGTAAACAGCGTCAAAACTCTGCTCGCCGTGTGGAAAAGTCGAATTCAACCATGAAATGGTATGTGCTAATCCCGCACAGAGAACAAAATTAAAAAAATGAGTGGGTTTAAAAATTCAATTCCAGTGTTAAAATATTGCATGAGTAAATAGAACTTGTTTACGTCTGATTTTCCCTGAAAACATTACGATGTTTATCCGAAGTAATTTTAGAAACAGATTTTTAGCCAATCAAAATCTCTGTGCGGGATTAGCACATACCATTTCATGGTTGAATTCGGCACGGTGTAATGACCTGATTGACCTGATGAGATATAAAATGTAATTTATTTAATATAAAGGACGAATTTAGAAAAGATCTTTTTCAAAATTGTTAATATTACTTTAATATACAATCTGGTCACTGAATTTTGTAATTTAAGGTGTTATATGAGATTTATTTGATGTTTAACCCAGTTGAAAGAGTGTAAAGACCTGATATCTAGTGTATTGTCCTGATGGAACTTTTTTCCCTTTAATTTACCAATGATTTGGTATTGATGAAATAATAAATTGATTTATGTTCCATTTATTGGTTTTCTTTAATTAAAATGTAAAGTTTTATATATTAGAAATTTTTGAGAAGGTTTTTAAAGAAATTTTCCTGTTCAATGGTGTAATGACCTGATTAAGAGTGACCTGATGGATTTATCATGAGTACTTTATCTTGGATATAATTGGTCATTTTGTTTACTTATTTATTTTTTAACCTGGTTTTAAAAGACTTGTAAAATAATTTTAGAGGAACTAATATTTCAATGTTTATGTATGAACATTTGTAGCAATATCTGAAAATATTGACTTTGACGTGGCTTGATAATTTAAATTCCATTGACCTGATATTTCTTTTGAAAAACTTATACTTGTAAATTTTTTTTCTAGTACTGTCGAACACCAAAACTCATATAAGTTATACAATCAACTTGTAATGAACGTACAAAACAAACTTGTTTTAGTTAACTTTTTTCCTATTAATAGACTTAGACATTTGTGCAACAATTTAAGCGAGAACCTGAGTTCTAAGTTGTTAGAACTTGTGTTGAAACATTTTGTGTATACCGGTAATACTTATACAATAAAAAAACATTTATGTTAAAATCAATTAATTTTGAAATGACCTGATATTTTTTTTTGGAAATTCGTAATATTTTTCTATAACTAAATATTTGAATGACACGATGGATCAAATGACCTGATAAATATTGTACGGTTAGCATGATTTCATAGAAATATAACACATTTATATGTTTGTGAGATAAAATTTCAGTTTTCAATTACTTTATTAGCAAAGGCTTAAAAATTTCTCATACAAAATAAAACAGATTAAAATATATAGGAAATAAATGATCATTTGCATTGTTTAACCAAATCATTTTTATAAGTTATATAAGAAAACAAGAAACACAGAGTTGCATTGATCTATAATATATCAGATTTCTTAACAGAGACTGAGTCAATATTTTAGAACTTTATTTTAAAGCTAAGTTCAAAAATGTAATTAAGTAATTACACAAATATATTCATGCATTCATCTATTTCAAAAAATAAATATTCAGATTTACTACACAATATCCTCTCTCTCTCTCTCTCTCTCTTTTTTTTTGGGGGGGGGGGGGGGGGAGGGAGATATTTAATATTGTATAATAGATTTTTAATATTAAAAGAATGAAGCGATGTAATTTTATTATTGACTTCATCCAACATAAATTTAGCAAGTGTGTAATGTGCATTATTTAAAATGGCATATAGGAAAATAAATTTAATTAACAATTCAGATATGGCCTTATTCATCTGCAATTCTAATGTTTAAAGAATGATATAGATAGTATGCCAATGTAATTCTATAAGAATTTAATAAAACCTTATAAGAATTTAATAAAAACTTAAAATATTTTTTGTTAATCCTCCACATATAATGTTTACTTTATGCATTTTGTTATGTTTTTCATTTTCTTTAAATACTTAATTGTCTATTTTTTACCCTTGCATGTTATTTATTTTTATTTTTTTTATTATTATTATTTTTATTATTTATTTATTTTTATTTACTTTTTTTGTATGTATGTACTTCTTGTATGTATCAGTGATCTGGTTGAATTGATAGTGTCAAAGGGACACTGTCCCATTGTTTGTACATGTGTATATCCTCTACCCTTAATCCCCTGGATATGGCTTCCGTGTGTCATCCGTGTAATCCCAGTAAACATGATAAACCAAAATTTGCATAAATTGATAAATAAACACTGAAACGTTTAAATTTGTTATAATAATTCTTTACATGCATGTATAAAATAAAATACAGAAAATGACTAAGATACATACATTTGATTAAAGGGTGTTTTAAAACAAATTTCTCATACTTAAAAACAAAACCACTTTCATTTTTTTGAAAATGACCCAAAATAGTTTCTGAACATTTTTTTAAGTGTGTTATTTAAAAGGACAAATGATTAAGGCTTCCTTTCTTTCAAAAAGTTTGTCCTAGGCAGAAAAAATAACAATAGCATTGCTCCTGTTCATAGATTTAT